GGAGGAGGAAGCATGTGATGAAGTGCCTGTAGAAAGCATTTAGAGACCTAACAGACCAACAATTGATTTAAAAAGCTCCATGAAGAGTCAAGTGCATCTGTAGTTCACCAAATATTCAGCGACTGCACAAAACTAACACGCTACTTGAAAAAGATGCAGTTCTGGGATCATTCAGGTAGATGTAAATCCTGTTTTGGCTCTGACCTGCATTTTTACACTAAAATACATTAATGTATGTAAAGAGTTATATTTATCACAACTGTGTCAACGGGATACTGATACTGCGTGAGTCATAAATTTTATAATGTGACACACAGAGAAGAATTATTATAACATTAAACATAGTTTTTTTGTTGTTATTTATTTTTTTGTTATACCATCGATACCAGCAGCGAAAAACCACGAAGCGAACACAACTCTATTAAGATAATCAACCGTTGCCTGTCTTGCAAATTGAAGGAAAAAATGCATCTCAGTCGTTGAAGTAATTATCAGTGGAAGCAGATGCTCCAGTAAGAAGCAAGCACAGAGCTATCAGCATATTGAGTAATCAAAACCACAATCACACTTCCCCCAAAACCTTATCAAAAGCAAAAAAAATAACTCTTTTTCTGGGAATTAGAAAGTGCAATCTGGATTCTATGACGACTCTGGTTTTCTGAAGAAATTGCTGCACATCTGTTTGAGTGGACTTGTTTTGGGAAATCTTTGTCTGCTCTTTGGTCTGTCTGGTAAAAAACACACAAACAAGATTTAACTGGATTTGATGACTCCCAGCATAGTATCTCATTAGAGTGTGCAATGACTTTAGAAGCAGTATGATTTATTAAGGGCATTTCAGGAACGAGGGCAGTTTTTTTTTTTTACACTTTTTAAGGGAATATTGATGATGACTTATTACTATGGAGGCTGGGGACAAACAAAATTGAGAAAATACATATTTTTTTTGAAGGTTTTGTTGGCTTTAGTGGCCTTTATTTGAAAGTAGTATGACAGGAAATTGGGTAATGAGAGAGAGGGAAGACATGACTGGAACCAGCTGGAGGCTGAACCTGCCAGTCTCACCTGGCAGGAAGAAGATAGGAAAAACATTCACACCCAGCACACAATCCAGTGGAGCAGAGAAGTTCATTGCTAAAGAAAAATAAGAGACATGGTATTAGAAAAAGAGCACAATGAATATCAGCGCTGGGCTTCTTCAAAGTCATTCCTTGATCCTACATTGTACATTAATGACATCTGTAAAGTTTCTAAAACACAGTTTAATCTGCAAATGACATTCATTTGTACAGCTCTAAGAAATACTTACACTTTTAACGCACTGGAGAAGGAGACAAAGAAAAGACTTGACTTCAACAGGTAACTTTCTATTGAAGGTAAAAATTAATGCTGAAAATAAAATGGAATTAAAGGTCATGCAATAGACATAATTGAATAAGCCCCCTCTGAGTTGCTTAAGAAAAGTTAAGTGTATGATGGAGCTGTGAGATTTACAGATAACGAACGTCAACACGGTTAATGAACACAGTGATTTCATCAATTTTCTTTCTCACCCTGGAAAACCATAGAAAAAAAGGCTGTCATAAATGATCTCTCCCCAATGTGGCTATGATTACCTAAGGGCAAGTTTTCCAGCTGATAAACATACAGAGCAATGGTTCAGTTTTGTTTTCTGCAGCATTATAGAAATTACTAGGCTGAAGAGCTCATGGAGCAAAAGAAAAAAGACAGAAAAAAGCCAGCTGTGACATTTTGTCGGTGCCTTTCAGCATTCTTTTGCAACTAATGCATAAATGTAGGTTGACGTTAGTAGAGTTTTGCTGCTTTATGCTCAAGCTATTTTGCAGCTGACTGCAAAATACAAAATCACAAAGAACTACTTGGGTTTAGACACTCTTCATGTCCTCATGCAATAAATTGAGGTGCATGTTTAACTGTGTTATCTTAATACCACTGTGTATAAATTTATTGCCTGGAAAGATTTCAATGTTTAACAGGAAACAGGGAAAAGCTATGACTTCTTACCACCATAATTGTTGCAGTTGAGGCTGACTCTGCTCATATTAGCCAGTGAATGGCTGCCTTTCAGAATTAGTCCATTTCCACTGTGGTTTTATTTGAAAGAAAAAAGAGAAAAAACACCTGGGACTCCCCACATCGTGGCAGATGGAGGAACAACCTCACACCCACTCATGGCGGGATCCTCCGCTCCTTGTTGCCAAACACAATAATAAACCCTCGGTGTGGTCAGCAGCACTCATCCACTTCTCTGCTTTCCATGAATGTGCAGTGCTGACTCCAGAGAAACCTTTGTCCTTCTCACGTATTTTCTGAGGTTTGGATATGATCGGCGGGCCTTGGTGAAACGAAGAGGTGCAATAATTGGAAATATTTCTGCAGTTATTTTTACAGCTTTACCTGAATGAGGCCACTTAGAGACAGCACATCTTAAACCCTTTGTGCTTTTTCCTTTCACTGGTGCATGTTGATTTATAAAGGCCTAAGTCTATTAAAGTCTGTTAAAATGTTTATCACTGTTTCAAATGTTATCGTAATTAACATTCCCAATAGCTTAGCAGGTCAGTCCTCCAGAGCCTCCATTCTACATGTTTTAGTTCTTTCCCTAATTCAGAACACCTTAATCAAATAAAGGTTTATCAGAAGGCCTCTTTAAAACTTTATGGTTAGGACACAGTTGGTCCATTTGAGTCAGCTGTGTCAGAGCAGATGAAAGCTATCCAAAACTGGCAGGACACTGGTTTTGAGGACTGGAGCTGGACACATCTCATATCTGTGTCTTCTGATTCATGTTGGCAAAGTGTTGATTACTTTGTAATTTTTGTTTAAATTGAAATTTGAGTCATTTGGGTTCAAAGTTGAGTTTTTTCCAATATTCCACAAATGTAAGAAGTTATCTCACTTAATTATAGAGATCAAAAGTTAACATGTCTTATGGAAAATGTATTTCATTACAGATGATAGAGCTCTTCCTCCCCCTGCTGAATATTTGCTGTATGTGCTGCTGATTTTCTGAGCACATTAATACAAGTCATTCTATTACTCGCCATACCTCCATCTGCCATTGCACAGGCTTTTCCTACAAGGTGTGAAAGCTATTTTTCAGGGTGTGAAGGGTTGTTTGTTTGTTTTTTTGCATTATGGCCATTTGTTTTAAAGTAAAATATATTGTTAATTTTTGTGAGCTCCAAACAAGCAGCATTTATCCATGACATTATATGAAAACATTTTCTAAATTCAACATACTATGCACAGACAAACCTCCCCGCAAGTCTTATTTTTAATATAATAAAACAGTAATCAGCAAACAAACAAACAAAAAAGAAAAACAAACAAACAAACTGAAGTTTATGGAATAAAAGTCTGCTCTTTTACTTGGCTTTAAAGTTTTTTCTTCTCTGGTTGTGTATGTGTATGTTTATTATTATTATTATTATTATTATTATTATTATTATTATTATTATTATTATTTACTTATTTCACCTTTTATTTGTATATGTAAACTTTAGTGAGAAGTGAGGAATCATTATTAAGATGATTTTATTAAGATTTTTAAACAACAGCCTGTTTTAAAATACGTTCAAGGTATTTTAATATATGCGTTTCAACTTGACTGCTTGATTACTTTTTATTCACATACAAACATAAACAAGACCATCCGTCTATATCTCAATTAGACAACATTAGACAGATTACGGAATCTAAAGGTTAAATACATATTTTTTTTATTTCACTTTCATCGATGTAATCACTCAAGACACAAAGCAATTCACTTGTCACAAAAATCCTTCGACCTTGAAACCGGAAGCGGAAGTTAGCGATCGGAAATCTCTTGACAAAACTCGCGAGTCTTTGTTCACATCAGGAGAAAGTTTAAGCTTCCTTTGGACGCGTCCATTGACAGTTATTACATGATTTTCCACGCTGTCTGGTTTGGGAGGGTAATGGTAATAAATAATAATGGTAATAAATAAATATTACATTTCACCTGAACAGTGTTTCTCAGTTCCAGCAGACTGTCAGTCTGACTCAGAGTTTAGTTAAGAGGGGGTGGACTGAACCATGAACCAGCAGTGCCCTCAAGATAACAATTGAATCTTCAGGCCTACCTGAGCCACTGCTGTCCATTTATGGAAACGGACCGCACTAAGAGAGATTAAACAGAATAGAGAGTGACAGAGCGGCTGCACAGTGGAGCAGTTGGAAGCACTGTTGCCTTGAGTTCGATTCCCAGATCGGGGTCTTTCTGCACAGAGTTTGCATGTTCTCCCTGTGCATGCGTGGGTTCTCTCCGGGTACTCCGGCTTCCTCCCACAGTCCAAAAACATGACTGTCAGGTTAATTGGTCTCCGTAAGTGTGTGTGTGTGTGTGTGTGTGTGTGTGTGTGTGTGTGTGTGTGTGTGTGTGTGTGTCTGTGTGTTTCCTGGCGACCTGTCCAGCGTGTACCCTGCAACTCGCCCGGAGAGGTAGCTGGAGATAGGCACCAACACTTTGTTGTGAGGGGCTCTAAATAAAATAAATATTTTAAAATTAATATAGAATCTTTTAAAATAACTTAAAAAAATCTTAGTTTACAAAAATTTAATACAACTAAAGCTGTTCCATGCTTAAATTAAATAAATGCATAAAAAGTATGACATACTCCATTAAAGAAAATATTTAAAATATATTTTTAATATTTATTTTTGTTTTATTTTATGGGCATATTTATTTATTTGATGGTGTGTTTATTTATAATATTTATTTATTTTACAATTGTTGTTGTTGTTGTTTGAAACTGCTCTACATTTAAAGACTTAACAGAAAATACTGAACATATCTATTCTCCAGCTCTTTCTTTCCAAAAAAGGTTTCCGGTTCACCAACACAAAGATGTGGACAAAGCTCAAGATAGTAACCCGCCTTTTCGTCCGGAATCAACATTTAATTCATCCAGTGAAACCAGAAGTGTTTCCGGATCATTGAGCTGAGTAGAGACACCTGTCTGGGAGTCCAAACTGTTTCACCTGTGTGAAAACTTTGAAACAATGAGCCGATGCAGAGGAATGTAAATGAATTTCTGGCCTCATCCGCTTCCAAACCGGAAGTAAACATGGACTATCTCTTCCCAGATCAACGGGGGAAGCCCCAACAACGGACTTTGACCGTCTTTTGACAGCTATTTAAGAAGTTACTTTCTATTTTGGTTCAGTAGCAGGAACAGTCTCTGATTACATTGAGTTATATGTCGTCAGCTCCGCAGGTGTTACTATTTCTCAGACGTGTTGCCAGCTGATCCAAGTCCTCTGTCTGTCTGTCAGGTGAGCCGAAACGGAGACCTGCTGTGTGACGAGCAGGTGATGAGATGAAGCTACTTTTACAGAAACTTGGTGGCTTCTCTTTTTTGCTGCGCGCCTGTCCTTGCAAAGCTGTAAATGTGCTATTGTCATTTTGTCATCTCTAACTGCAGCTTCTAATACTATTTATTTGTTCTCGATTCACTGGATATCAGGCTGATATTGATCAGTGCTCTCTTTAGGTCATATTATAAATGTAACATTTAATTCTAGTAATAAGCAAATGATACTAATGAGTCCTAATAGTACATCTCATTGTCATTCTATGTTGTCTCAAGGATCTGGTTGGGATTTAGAGTGTTATCCATCTCTGGTTGGTTACTCTGTTCATTCTCTTGCATCATAGATTTTATAAATGTGACTTTTCTTCCTGCTCTTCTGAAAATTATGCACATCTTTAAATGCCCTTAGTCCTGAAAACCCCATTCTGTGTTACATCTGTGTCATCTGTTACAATGATCCACAGCAAATCTCCCATTTCTCCAGAAAGAAAAGTTTTTCTGCTAACTTATCTCTAAATTTATTGATAAAACAGGTATAACCACATTATTTAACTTCCATATTAACCTGTTTTATTTCAGTCCCTGTAGTCACAGTTGGCGCGTTATTGATTTTGCTGCTGGATTTCTTTCTGTGATTTTGTATTCACTTGGTTTTTCTATGTTGATTGTTGCATTATGTTAAGATGCCATTCTTATTATTTGGACAAATCCTACAGCACTTTGGTCCACTCTATTTTTAAATCTGCTGTTTAAATAAAGCTGAATGATTTAACTGAATACATTTTTTGAGCAAATTTTATTTGCCTAGATGAGTGATAATGTAAAATACCACTGGAGGGCATAGTGGGGCAGTTTTCATCAAATGAGGTTTTTCTCAAACATTTTAGGTTCATTATTGCAGACTTCTTACCAGTAATAGACACAATTAAGTCAATGACTTCTCCCATTGCCCTGTTTTGTAGCCTCAGTTTTCTGTTCTTAGCTGACAAGAGGCAACCAATGTGGTAAACATGTTTTGCATTTTGATATAATATTCAAAATAGCTTGTTTTTTTCTGTCATCTGGAGCACTCTGCCCATTCTCCTCAAACAACATCAAGATCCACCCAGCTGCTGCTCACAGGATAGTTTCTTTCCTTTGAACAATTCTTTCTAGATCTGAGAAATTGGCATCCTGGAAAAGCTGGTATAGTAGTACTCAGGACCCCAAAGGGCTTGACACTACATTCACATGCACATTCACAGTAATCGTGGGAAGCTACGTCCATTATGAAGGCTGTGATGCACTGGCTCCCTCACACCACTAACGTAGGCAAAGTGGGTGAAGTAACTTTCATTTTCAAAGTGAAAAAAAAAAAGAAGAGTTTATCTTTGACCTATCAAATATAGAAAATTCACTTCACTTAAGTTAAGCCTGGAATTGCAGTAAAAGCCATTTATGAACTTTTATTTGCTTATTTCAGCTGCAGTAAAATGTTCATAATCCTGAAGTGAATGTTCTTTGTCTTTTTTATGTTTGCATAAGAAGGAGCAGTCTAATCCACAATATGTAAGTCTTTCTAATGTTAAACGACAATAATTGCTGTTATTAAATAATTGAAATATGTTTATATATTTGTATTTCTTTGAAAGGTGTTGGTGTTTGCCTGTTATCGTGGGTTTCCTGTTTGTGGCCCTCCTGTACTGTTTCTGTTTTGTGATCCAGGGGTTCTGTGGGTGGCCAGACAAGCCTGGCTACAAAAAGTACATCGAAGCTCTAAATCCCAGGTAATTTGTGTAATTCCTTTTGCTTCTGGCTTTACAACCATATAATGTTCTTTGGTACAACATTTTTGGTTATTTAGAAGAGGTTTAATTGTCTTTTAAAATGTTTTATCATTCAATCAGGCGGATATACCGTTTGACCTTAGCTGCATTTGATCTTCTCAAATACGTTCAGCATTGGAAACTGCATTTTCAGATTAAGTCCTGGTATAGAAATGAGCAGAACACTAAGCACTTCAAAAAGGTGGGAACATTATAAAAAATGTACTTGTCAGTTTTGTACTTAATCGTAATAAATCTGGTAAGTTTTTGCAAAATCTTGTCAAAACTTACCTCTGGTTTTCTTGCTTTGCTTTGGAAGGGCATTGTTTATGGCCGCCGAGGCAACAAGCTGGACTTGTATTATCCCCCCATACACAATAAAGATAAGTTTTCACCTCTGGTTGTGTTTATCTATGGCGGTGCATGGAGCTCTGGACACAGATCCATTTACTGTTTACTGGCAAGGCAGATGGCTGAAGAACTGGATGCAGCTGTTGTTTGTCCAGATTACTGTACTTATCCAAAGGTAATAAAGTCACAATGCCAGTTACTGATTATTTTTTTGTGTGATAAATGTAAATGAAAGGCTCCAACTGCAACATACTCCAGTGATAATGGCTCTTTGGGGAAGCAACAATAAACCAAAGTTCATCAGAGAGCATTTCAAAACCTACAAAAGAGTAATAGAATCACTAAAGAAAGAAAAAAAAAAGCATGGATGTCTTTCCCAATAATGTTGAGAAACATTAGAATTCAAGAATAAAGTAGAAATTATTAGAAAAAAAGTTGAATGTTGAGGAAAAAGTTGAAATACTCTGTTTTGTGGTGAAAGTCAAACTTTTGAGAGTAAATTAGAAATATTTTGAAGAAAAGCCAGAACCTGAAACTGTTGTATTCATCCATGTTTATATAGTAATTGAGATAATCTTCTTGTTATTTAATCCTATTCTAAAATATGTATCTAATTAAATTCATATTAATCCTATTCACCAGGCATGGTTGCTGGTCCTTTTAACTTTATTGATTATTTACTTTTGCCTCATAATTTCAACTTTTCTCATTATTTTGACATTTTTGCACCACTTAAATGTTTTTCTTTCCCACTTTTTTCTGATTGTCTTGGTTGATGATAAAAAAGGTGATTGATCGTGCTGAACTGGTTTGTAAAATGCACTGCTGGTTCTTTCTGATTTCAGGGGAATGTTCTTATGATGATTCAAGATATTGCCGACTGTCTGATATGGGCGCAAGAGAACGGACAGACGTTCAGCTTTGACAAGGTAAGTTGCTTTCTAAGTTTTAAAGAAAGTAGGACAGACTTGATATTCATTGCATAAATTGCAGAATATCCTGAATCCATGTCTATTTATTAAATAAGATCAGGTCACATACACTTATCTTGCAGCTGCAACAAACGCCACAAAAATTGTTTAAATAAAACAATAAAAGTATGACAAAATGATATTTATGCCCACGTTTTTTGTAATTATTTTCTCTCAAGTAGCACGGGTTGTATTTCATCTGTTATTTATCAACAACTTCTAATATTGATGTTTTCTTTGAGAGTCCTTATACTTATGATTGTAGCGATACATCCTGTTAAATTCAAGGGTCTTGATGTGAAATATGCTTTAATAAATCCTGTTTCTTGTCTTCTTAGGACAACATTGTTTTAGTTGGCCATTCAGCAGGTGCTCATTTGGGTGTAATGACCGCACTATTTCTCCTCGACACACGAGAGGATCTGGTGATAGAGACAAAGAAACAGCAGCAGATTTTACAGTCAATACAAGGAGTTATTGGTATGTACATCTGTATGTCTTTTTTAAACAAAGTATGTGTTTTTAAAAAAGATAAAACAAAAATAAACAGCTGTTTGATTATTTCATGTTTTTATAATTTTTTTCTGAAATTGACATCATTATCAATTAATTATAAGTCAATTTTAGTAATTTATTCCTTTTAGGCTTTATTACTTTCCGTTTCGTGTGTAACTGTTTGTCTTTTTTTGCTCCATGAATAGGACTGAGTGGTGTTTACAGCATTATGGACCATTATGAGCATGAGAAGAAGCGAGGAATTGAGTACGTCTCTTGTATGTCAAGAGCCATGGATGGGGAGAAAAACTTTCCACACTATTCACCAATGCAAATAGTACAGAACCTTAGTGATGACAAGCTGAGCAGGTGAGATGTAAACACAAGAAGTATCCTGAAATTAGTTTCATGATACTAATTTCAGGATCCTGAAATGAGTAATTAGTAATTTGACCATTACTGCTGCAGCAAAAACGTCTTTCCTGACATTTTCTTTTCTCTGTTACTTCCAGAGCTCCACGGTTCGTTTTGCTTCACGGGAATTGTGACATCGTTGTTCCGTTTGAGTCTTCCACGAAGTTCTACAAGCTCCTCTCTTCACTGTCCGGAAAGGTGTCGCTCCACCTGCTTCCTACCGTCAACCACATTGAGATGGTCACTGACCTCATGCTGTCAAGCACGCCCTTCTACCAGCCGATCTTCAGATGCATCGAACGCGAGTTCAGGAAACTCCTAGGTACATGTTAACAGCCTATCAGGCCCATGTCTGGGTCTGCAAACATCAGCTGCCAGGGACACGCATATTGTACAGCACCTGCTCTAATGCCACAAAATAAAAAAAATGTTTTGATTTATAATTATAATAAACTAAAAAAATATATGATTTAGCTGTTTTCTATCCAAAATCAGAAAGCCTAAAGAATACATGGCCTGTTTGTGCCTTCACAGCCCTAAGCAGTGTTTCTTTTTCACGCTGCATTCACCACAGACAGCCATTACGTCTCAGAGTTCACCACAGAAAACGTCCTCCACCACCTGAGCCACAGCTGCCTGTTATGAAATCAAAACTGAAAAATATTAGCTGAATCCAAAATGATGTCTAACTTCACTAAAAACATCTTGTAATAAACTGTTTTATTATGAGATGTGCATAGAAAACTATGTTAAAATATTAGTATTATTATTAATAATAATATTATTACTACTGGAGTCAAATTGCAGAAGCAGTACCTCTTATTCTTGGGCTACTGGTTTTGAAGGGAATGTAGATGCACAACATTGATCATATTATTTGTGTTAAATATAATTTGTATGATAAAATTGACTTGAATGTTGTGATGTTTAATTTAATACCAATAGCATAACACTTATGTTATTGATATTAAATGGACCAAAAACTGTTGAAAAAAAAATAATATTTTTTTATGAGTTGTTTTTTTTTTCTGTGTAATATGTGCAGTTAAGCTCAAAACTGTTGATACCTCATGTAGAATTAGTTTTAAAGTAAAGTTTTAATTTGACCAACTTGTTTCTTCTGTCTTGAAGTAATATTAATGTTTTGGAGTGGCCCAGCCAGACTCTTGTGCTACGGTGATGGCAAGAAAACCATCCAGCCTCAACAATTTGGATTTTCTTGCAAACGATAAATGAAATCAAAATACTAGTGGAAAAAAAAATACAAAAATAAGATGAGCAATGAATGCTTTGATTACAGGGACACCAATAAAGATTTTTTTCTGTAGATTGCTGAAAATGCTATGAATCATTTTTGATATGCAGTTTTTAGAGTAAAGTCTAAGCTTTGTTACTATGACATTTATTTAATGAAAACACAAAATTCAGTTTCTCAGGAATGTAATGCAGACAATGTGGAGAAGACTTCTGAGTTGACAGTTTCCTAGCAGACAGTCACTGACACCGTCCACAATGAGGGTAAGCCATGAAGGGTCACTGATAAAGAATTTGGCTGTTTTCAAGAATCTTAAAGAACATAGAAAATTGAGTGAAAGGAAAAGAATGCTTGACCTAAACCCAGTGGGGAATCTATCTTGTATGGTCAAGAGGAAGATGAGATGAAGGTCATTATTAAAGCAAGCTTGGCTTCCTTAGCAGGCTGATGTGACATACACGAATACTACACAGTAAATTGACCTATTTTCTTAGTAGGCCAATGGATCCTTATGAATCTCAATAATCCTTACTGTTTACATCCTTGCTATGTGCCCAGAGTTGTTTCTTTTGAACATTATGCTTATAGTTGTTTGAAATAACATTCTTGTCTTTTTTTCATTTCTTGGAAATAGTGTTTTTTTTTATGCACAAATATACATGAACATTTGGTACATTTTTGAATAACTATTCAGTTGCACATTTCTTTCAAACGGAGCTATTTTTTTAATGAAAACTGTACAGTGTCATTCAGTTTTTATGAATATATTTTGATCTAAATATGATCGTGCAAGCTTCTGTTCACCTTTAACCTGCTGGGTGTTACTCCAGAATTTCTATTCTATACTACTCAACTTTTATTTTGAAATTTCACGCCTCTGTTTCGCGCACGAGGCGGAGTTCGGAGAGGGTCCGCTTCTGCAGAGCTGCGAGAGGGACACACACTCCGTTCCGCTCCGTTTAAGGGTTTTGTTGGTCATCTGGACGGAACCGCAGCTCGAAGGGGTGAACAACATTCGGTAAAAATGTGAAAACAAATTCCACTGAAAGTAACTGTGTCCAAAGAGACAGTAAACATGGACTCTAATGGGAACAACACCAAGAAGAAGTTGTGGCTCTGCGGTCTCCTGTGGTGGTCGCTCCTGCTCGAACTGTCGTCTGGAGGTAACAATATTCCTACTTTTGGATCTTTCTGTCAATTAAAACAAGGACTAAATTAAGACGCTTGATGTTACGTTTAGGGTCAATGTGTAAAAATGTATGAATGTGCTAAAAAGTGAAGTTTTTTTTTTTTTTTACTTTAATTGTAAATGGGTTACATGAAACTGGCTGTTAAAACTGTAACTTAAGGTTAAAAACAACCAAAAATCCTGCAAAACAAAAATAATGACTTTTTTTTAAAGCACAACATAATTATGCGTGGCTCAAGATTATCATCACAAAAGATGATTAAATTATTTTTGTTGCTACTGTTTTTATTGTCAATGCAAAGGTTCACTGGCCTTAAATTGTTGACATCCTGTTACCCAACAGGATTAAGTGAAATATGTATGGAGACATGTTGGTGGGGGGTAAGGCTGCAGAGTCATTAGTCCCTTTCCAGCATCAATGCAAACTCCTCTCTCTTTCTTAATTTGGGCATTATGAGGGCTAATAAATGCAGTTTTTCTCTCCTGTAAAAAACACATTTGGCTATTTTTGCATGCGTGGATACCCACTGTGTAGAAATAGACTTTCCAATGCAAACAGAGCCAATGGATTTTCTAGTTTTTGCACTGAGACATCTAAGAGAGAGTGATGTCTTTGTTTCACAATTGAGCATTATTAAATTCATGTAGGCATCCCTTAGCTATTCTTCTTTATCTGAGCCTGACATGTGTCATCTAAATTCAACTTTCATCCAGGCACTGACCTCGGGGGATCATCACAAATTATTTCACTTTGTCATTCATTGAAAATGGCCACAATGGAGACATTTCCCTTCATGTCATTGTCTTTCTGATTCTGTACTGCCTTTGCACCATGTACCAAGCCTTTGGTCAAAAGATCTGCATCTCGGGGTTTTGACAGTGCATCGGCTTCAGATACGATTCAGTCATGTTGCATCTCCGGTCTGTTGAATAAATGGAATGCACAGGCAGTGACAAGCACTGGTCTACCCCTCAAATTAACTACAGGCCTGTGTTCTCTAAAAAGGTCACAGGCTTTGTTGTTAAGGTAGATGTTTGGGAAGTGTTTCAAAAAATGTCACTGCTGCAAAGAAACTTGCCCCTGTTGACATGTAGATTACAGGATGGTGCTCCAAACAACCTCCTGTTTGTTCTTTTGAAGGGACATATTGAGGTTGGTGGGTTTTTGTCTTATCTGCTGTACTCTTTCATTTACATACCTGCCAAAAATAAACGTGTTGCAACACTTCTGTCATATCAAAAAGTCAAAATTATGGAAAGGAATATGGAGGAAAGAGCTTCTGTCATCACCAAATATTTTTGTTTATGTAAATGGCGACTCCAGAAGACACAATTAAGCATGCATTTCTGCCTCTGTGAATTTAGAGCAAGACATTTTGTCATCTTCTTCTTGACTAGTTTAATCTTTATTTTCTACATAACGCCACTCTTATGAATTAAAAATTGAGTACAAATAAAAAAGGACAGGCACCCACAGCGGTGGTTACGCTTTACTCATTTTTTATTTATTTTGTAATGCCTGCAAGCCTGATATTTGCACATACTTCCAGCCAGATTAACCCACCTAGATGAGATCATACCTAAAAAATAAAACAAAGTTATTGTCCTTGTTTGCATCAGTGGTGTGGGGTACTGCCTTGCAGCAAGAAGATGTGGCAAGTGAGTGAACCAGCTGGTCAACTGAGGTCTTTTTTCTGTGAAGTGGTGTATGAGGCTTTTCTCCAACTGTCTGTCTCTCATCGTCAAGTTCAGTGTTTTTTAGTTGATTTTGTTCATACTAAATTGTTATTTGTGCACGTTTGATTAAGCTTTAACAAGTTGTTCCCTGAATAAATCAATATTATCTTGAAGCTTTCTGGTTAGTGCAGACGACTTCCAAAGTATCTATGAAGAGAGATATGGGAGGTGACGAAAAGCATATTTATTGATTGTTAACTTGATTGTTGTACATAGACTTAACCAAAAGTATACAGTGATGTACACCAGCTTAAATTATTAGTAGCTTTGCAGAAAATTGGTCCCAATAATCATTCTTCTCTTTTTAGATCAGCAGTAAACACATCACTTTATACATGTCAACACTTGTAGAAAATGCATGAGACAATTCAAATGTAGGGACGTTCCTGCAGACTCAAAGAGAGTGAGATGTAATAGAGATAGCAGGAAAGATAAGTATTTACAGAAAGATTTGTCTGCTTTATTTTTTTTTATCAGATTTCAACATCTGAAATTTTAACGGCATAAACAAATCAATTTATTTATACCAATATTTGGAATTGAATTTGGAAAAGTTGTCTATCTTTTGGAAATATCAGAAAAAAGTAAGGTTCTGCGTCCTCTAGGGCAGAGTTTCCCAACCCTGGTCCTCAAAGCACACTCAAAAGATTAACAGGCTTTTGCTGAACTGCAATCATCTCAATCAGGTGTTAGAGCACAGAAGCATCTCAAACATGCAGGGTGGTTTGTGTCCCTGAAGACAAGGGTTTAGAAACACTGCCCTAAGGGAATACATGCTGGAAAACAATGCAAGCTATGCTAATATGCTCATGCTGGTTTAAAATGTCTGCTTTGTTACATTGAAAAATAGTGAAATCATCAGCACTTCAATTTGCTTGTAATCTCAGTTTGTACAACAAATTCAAGATTTTGAAATATGAGTGACTTAAATGTCAGTTGCTTCGACTTTTGCAGATGTTGAGATTTTTATAGAACAGATTAGATTTTTATAGATGCTAATTTTTTTTCTCTTTCCTTTTATGTTGTGTTGGGTCTTGTATTTGACACACCTTTATTTAATCCTTTCCATTACAGATTCAACTGTGCTGTGAGATTGAGTTCAGAAACATTGCATGTGCCCACACTAAGTTTGTCCAGCCCAGTGATTCTCTCTAACCCATTATAGACTCGCCCCCTGGCTTGTAAACTGCAAATGAATGAAAATGTGAAAAGGGCGCTTTCCTCCACAGAGGCAGAGATGTTTGTTGACCTTTCAATATGTGTGGTACTCCGCAGCTTGTTAAAAACTGGTGGTGCCTGGGCATGGAGGCACATGAGAATGCTTCAGAGCACGTTTGTGCAGATTACAGAGCGAGGAAAATGGCAGGGAAGTGAGGTAGAAGAAACAGCTGGGTCCGTCTGCCACGCCATTTCTAGAACAAGAGGCCGCAGACAATGTGGGGACGTCAGAGCCTTTTATGTTCCGGTTGATAGTTCCTGTCAGTGCAACGCAGGCCTGAACATGTCTGACTCTCTCCAAGTCACATCCACTTCCAGTGTCTCCCTTTCTTTTCCGTTATTATGGCATTAAAGTCAAATTCCTTAAATATAGCATATGTCGTCCTTACAGCACCAGAGAGCTCATGAACAACTTTCTACTGGAAGTACAAATAAAACTGCAGTTCAATCTGGAACTGTGTTTTTGACAAAGGTGCTTATTAGTTTAAAGGTAAAACCTCAAACCAGTATTTTAATGCATGTTAAAATACTAATCATAACGGTTGTGCTCAAAACTTAAGCCCAACTGACCCACCTTGAAGGAAAAACTTGCAATGCTCTCCCATAAAAACAGTTTTTAAATCAGGAAAGCTGTAATATTTGAACAGTTTGAACAACTCTCACTGAATGTGTCTGATTTGTATTTAAAGACTCTGCTTTACTTATAAAGTACTTACCAACAGTTATAATTAGCCTGGGTTTGTATCTGAAAGTCACAGTGTGACTGAAAGTCACTATAATAAGCCCACACTTTTGGACTAGACTTCCTCTCAGTTTGTTGTTGTCATTCCGACTCTACCTTTTTTTATTTATTTATTGTACTTTTATCTAACTTTTTCTATTAATTAGGCATTTATTTACTTTATAAATCTACCAAATGTGTTTCTTGCAGCTTCCTTCTATGGGGATGGCTTCATACATCTTAAGGCAACAGAATCGTCCGACCATAACATTCTCCGTGTTCGATTCCGGACCTCCAGCGCAAACGGCCTGATGTTTCTCGCTGCTGGCCAGGCCAACTACTTCCTGCTAGAGCTCCATGCTGGTCGCCTGCAGGTTGGTACAACTGTGGCTGCAGGACATCAGCATATGTGCATGCACGCCTTTACATTCTGAAAATACATTTCTTTGGGTTTTGCTATAATCAGCACACCCAAACATTGACTACTATGAACTGTAAGTCTCTCTTGTAGAAAAACAAAAAATTTTTTGCTCCATCATCAGTGTCTGCACCACTTTATTTAATCCTTAGCATCTTTATCATTGGAATCTGTTTAAAGTGTATTAAGGAAAGAAAGTCCATCTATTTGACTGCATGGCCCTTGAAACGTAATGTGTATATGCAAGTAATTACGATTGTGATATGACTTGATTACATCAACCTGTTCACAAGCTGCAGGTGGAATTTAGCAGTTTTTGCTAAAATCTGGTGCCATGCATCTCTGCTTTCAAAAGGTTAATAAAATGTTCTACATTTTCTCTGTAAACAAACAATGGAAACAGTATTGCACATATTGCAATTGCAGTCACAATTGTGACTTGATGCAGTTAGACTTACTTTAATAAACAAAAGAAACTCTGGGATTTACCTGACAGTTTTGTGCATTTGACTAAAATATCCTTGAGACTAAGCTCATATTAGTTACATTTTAACTGTTGTGAAAGAATCACACTGACAAATGTGTTGAATTTTGCACTTCATTGAGCACAAAGGGTGAACTATGCTTCACGGACTATAAAGTGGTAGTGTTCACCATTTTTCAAGCTTGGGGTCTCTCTGTGTGAGTCAGACATGAGTTGCTCCCTGGAAGCTCGTACATGTTTAGCTCCCCAGCAAGCCTTGACAAGCATGTCATCTAAATGCAGCATTATTCAGAGACAGTGTTGTGATGCTCTGTGGTCGTAGCCCAGGGCAAATAGATAATGGTGCTTTTCCTGCTCTCAAACCCAGACAGAGTTCACTGTTTTGACAACAGGTGACATCATAAGCAGTCTGAATCCTGCATTTCTTATCCCAGGTGTCACTGTCTCTACAGCTTGTCTTTTTTCAAACTCTTGCAATTTATGGTATTATTCTTTATATAAGAATGAGTGTTTTGATATGATAAAATTTAAGAATATAGATGTCATCTTTACTTTGGTAAAGTAAATTCATTTCTATCAAATATTAAAGCATCATCTGTTACATATAGATTTGCAGTGCCTTTATATCACTGAAATTCTAATTACATTCTACAATGTATATTAGTGGGACTTGATTTAGACCATTGTAATTGGTAGAAAAAGATGCATTAATCTTTAACATTGTTTTCTTAAAACACAACTTTCTTTGATGCGATTACAGTTGTAACTCATTTCGCACTGAAATAATTTGTCTATTCTTCTACTCAGTTTACTCAGATTAGCAAAAAGGCTCTGTGTACATCAACTTTAATTGTTGCTCCATGTTTTCAATAGTAGATTAATCATGTTATTTAAAAAATTATTTTGTTTCTTTTAGGTGAGATTGGATCTTGGATCAGGGGAGCAGGTTTTAGAGTCAGAGCGAGGAGTCCAGCTCAACGATTTGGCCTGGCACTCAGTGGAAGTCCACCATGTGCAGCTAAATGTCACACTCACTGTCGACAAAAACTCTCATACAAGTACAAAGATGCCTGGCTCTCATCATCATCTCCACATTAAAGATGGTCTTTATGTTGGCAGCTCAGGAGGTTTGGACAAAATCTACCTTCCCAGAAACTTAATCGGCTTCCGAGGCTGCTTGGATGAGGTAGTGTTCAATCAACATGACTTAGTGTCATCACTGAGGCCGTACACTGAATACAAAAACATTTATGAAGTCTCTTTAGGCTGCAGTCCCCAGTTCTTTGCTACTGAGGAAGAGTCTATTAGTTTTTTCAGTTCCAGAGCCTATATGTCCCTTCCAACTTGGAATCATCATCATCATCAAGCTGCATTTGAGTGTGTTGTGCACACCTCAGCCAACGAGGGTGTAATCCTCTACAGTTCAGCCAGGGATGGAGGCTTTGTGGCTCTGGAGATACAGGAAGGTTTTCCAGTTGGTGTTATAGGAAAAAATGGAGTAAAAACTGAACTACGTTCTCAAATATCCATCAATGACAGAAAATGGCATTCTCTCAAGTTGCATTTTAGTTCCAGAAACCTTGAGCTAACCGTGGACAAAGAAATGGTGAAGAGTAGCATTAGTTCTCACTCAAAGAGGCTTCATCTTAAAGGTTTTCTTTATGTTGGAGGTATTGATGATGGTACCAGGTTAGAGGTCAGAAAGGTAGGTCTTGCCTCTGTATCTGGAAGGCGTGCCAGAGGAGGTTCCTTTAAAGGATGTTTAAGGAACATTGAAATAAACAGAGTAAAGATGGGTCTCTCTAATGCATTAGTCACCAAAGATATTTCAGTAGGTTGTGAACCAGAAAATCCACCAGAGGAATCAACCCATGTTAGTCCTACAAGTACACCAAGATCAGTTTTGCATTTTGTTACTCCAACCTCATCTCTTCAGATGTCCACCCTTGCAGTTGGTTTGGACAAAAGGCACGGCTCAGATTTTGTACATTTCAAAAATCTTGTTGTCCAGGAAGGTGGTCGAGCCTCTCTTGACGCCAAACATATAAAGGTATACCTGGACTTCAAGGCACTTGGCATTCGGCAATCTCAAATTATGTTTAGAATTGAAGAGCAGCCATTGAGAGGTCAGATAAGACTTGATGTCGATGACGAGCAAGAGGAAAACACCTTTGGCATGTTGGATCTTTGGCATGGAAGAGTGATGTATGTCCATGGAGGCTCTGAGGAGCCAGATGACTTCATCATGTTCTCAATATATTGTAGTAGCAGAAAACCGGTTCCCGATTATCTAAAAAGCAGCAAATTATATCGCTACAACATAACTGTGACACCAACTAATGATGCACCTGAATTAAGCCTCCCTGAAGGAAATCTCTTTGTCTTATTGGAAAGATCTAAGAAACATCTCACCACAGAGGTTTTGAAAGTTACAGACATAGACAGCAATTACACAGACCTTGTATTCTCAGTACTAGGAAATCTGAATGCTGATGCAGGCTATTTGGAGCTAGAGGGCAACCCAGGCAAGGCAGAGACTTCATTTTCATATGTTGACCTAGATGAAATGAGGGTGTATTATGTCCACACGGGTGTGAGAAACTCAAGGATAGCTCTGAGAGTTAGCGATGGAGACAAGGTCAGCAACACTGTGGTTTTAAGGATCATGGTCATAGCGCTGGAGTATGAGATTGCCAACAACACTGGTCTTGAGCTCACTCAAGGAGAAACTGCTATAATTAGTTCGAAGCAGTTGGCCGTGCAAACAAATGCAATGAAACAAACTGTAGACATTCGGTATGATATTATTGAACCACCACAGTTTGGAGAACTTCAGAGACTTCACTCAAGCGGTGAATGGAGGCACACAGAGTCATTCTCGCAAAGACTTCTGGAGAAAGAGCGCCTTCGATACGTTAGCACCTTTCAAGACATCCAGACCTCAAATATCAGTGATTACTTTAAATGTAAGGTTAATGTGGCTGCAAGAGCGAACACTGAAATACTTTTCCCAATTGCTGTTAAGTGGGTGAGATATCATTTGGCTAGGAACATCATGATAAATATGGATAAAGTTAGAAAAGTGACTATAAGCTCAGAGTCCCTTGTGGCAAGAGCTGATGGTGTCGCCCTCTCAGATGAGGAACTTTATTTTCGGGTCCTCACTACACCAAAGAAAGGAAAACTCCTGCTTGACTCCACAGTCTTGATGAAGAACTCAACCTTTAGCCAAAGGGATCTATCAGATAAAAGAGTCCATTATGAGCTGGTTGACAGACCTTACGAAGACACAACGGACAGATTCAAATTTCAGCTGATCTCCAAACATGCTCAGTCTGAAAACTATGATTTTCAGTTTTCAATCAAAGCCGATATCAACACTGTGTTTATGAAAAATAAAGGCCTCTCGCTTCAGGAGGGAGAGAGTAAACTCATCACCAAAGATGAGCTCTTTGCAGAGACTTTAAGCACAAGGGACATGTTCTATACTATCATAAGCAGTCCTAAACATGGAAGGCTGGCACGCATTAGTCAGTCAAATTCCAATGCCAGCTATGATAACATCTTGACCTTCAGTAATCAGGATATAATGCAGGAGCGATTAATGTACATCCACGATGATAGCGAAACTACACAAGATGACTTTGTTTTTATAGCCTCTACCAACCAAGGCTTCAAATCTTCCATTTCGGATAATGATGTTGGCTCCAAAGAAGGAACATTCAACATCACAGTTCAACTAGTGAATGATCAAAAACCAATGCGAATCATTGATAAAGTTTTCCATGTTGTAAGAAATGGACAGAAGCTTCTCACTTCAGAGGATTTGCTTTATCACGATAACGACTCCGACTTTGATGACGGCCAGCTGATCTACACCCGACGTGGAATCCCAATGGGAGACCTCGTGCTGGTCAATGACACAACTCATCGGCTGTTTCAGTTTGCACAGAAGGATTTGGAGGAGAAGCGCGTGTTGTTCATTCACAAAGGTGCTAGTACTGGCAGGTTTGTTCTCTTTGTATCAGATGGAAGCAATTTTGTGTCAGGTCTCTTAGATGTTAGTGCTCATGACCCTTTCCTGAAGGCTGAGAACAACACAGGTCTGTTGGTTCAGAAAGGACAGTCGGTAACGTTTACCACCAACAATTTCAGCATAGTATCAAATATGGATATCCGGGATGACCGGGAGGTCATTATTAAGTTGGAGGAGCCTCCGAGATATGGCAGTATTTATCGTAATAAGACAAAGGTTGAGTCATTCACGCAGTCTGAACTAAAGGATGGGTTAATCTCATACAGCCACGATGACAGCAAACACCTGGCAGACCATTTCAACTTGACTGTGAAAGCTAAAGTTCTGCAAATTACAGAGAGAGTTAATGTGAAGGTTTATCTTGAAAGTCATCAGAGGCCACCCATCATACAACATCAGGAGACTTTACTGGTGGAAGAGGGAAAACCAGTGAAGATTGATGAGACTAAACTGGAGGTATGTGGTATGATAACACACTTTTCTGTCAGAGATTGAAGTTTACCATAACTTTTAATAAATGTTAGTCGGTTTATGTATTTAAAAGTAATAAACATTTTTGTGTTATCTAAGTACAAATACATTTGTCAAAGTTTGTCCACCCATCTAGTACATTGCCTTTAGCCTATTCTTCTTACCCTGAAAATGTGGGTTTTAATAGCAGTGTAAGAATAAACGTTGAACCCAAAAGGTTTCTGCAGTAACATCAAGTATCACAAAGATTTCAAAGAGCAGTAAATCTTAGTCAGCTATGTGACATTTTAAATCTAACCAGGGAATGTTTTTGGTTTGGGACAGGTCACACACGAGGACAACCTGCCATCTGAGATTGTGTTTGCAGTCAAAGTAGCTCCATCTCATGGCTTTCTCAGGCGCTTTTTCGAAGCCGATGAGCGCTACATCGGAACCAAACAGTCGCCTGTCAAGATATTTACCCAGGATGACATTAACAAAGGGAACATCCAGTACGTTCAAGTGGAGCCAAACAAAGTAAACGACACCTTTCTCCTGGATGCCACCAATGGAATCACCGATGTCAGCAACATCAGGATAACTGTTGACATCATCCCACTGCTCATTCCTCTACACGTCACCAATTTCACCATTAATGAGGGCGCCTCAAAAGCACTGACTGAGGATGTTCTTAAAGTCACCAATAGGCACTTTTCTGGGTTGAACTTCTTTTATAATTTGACAAAGCCTCCTCTCCACGGTCACATTGAGCACTCTCGACATCCTGGTGTGCCTATAACCACTTTCACCAGGAGACAGGTGAGAAAGGTTACAAAAATATTTTGTTCCTCTTGAACATTTTCACATTTTGTGTCTCTGTAATAACAGATTTTAATGCATTTCAGAAATAACTTTAACTCTACGTTTAAAGTTTTATTTTTAAAATCTTTTGAAAGATCTTTTTGCTGACACCTCACGATTATGCACTTCTTTGTGTTCAGTCACATAAAATCCCATTGAAATGCATTGAAGTTAGTGGATACAAAGAGATAAAATGTGAAAAGGTTAAGGAGTATTGGGCTAGCAGAAATATTTTCAAAAACTCAATAAGTTTTTTTTCTGTCTTTGCTATGTGCCAAAAACATTCTGCTATTTCTTCAAAGTAATTAGACTTCTAGTTATTATTGCAGCAATGACTTTCATACCTTGAAACTGTGGAGTTCTTATCTTAAATGCTTGCATATTTTCTGTCTTGGAAACCTAGCAGTCTTATATAATTAAAATACTTAAGTGAAGAAAGCTGTTGCCCTGGCTTGACATGACCTCCTGCACTAGCTGGAATTTATTCACCTCAATGATTTAAAGTAATAATTATAAAACAAGTTTCTGAAATGCTTTTTTTTTGTGTTAACTCTTGCCTCTATTTTGATATACGTTTGTTTTTATATTTTATTTTAAATGACCAGTACTTTGCATTTTCCTGAATGATTTCTATGACTTTTCCACAGGTGGAACATGAATTTATTTACTATGTCCATGACAGCAGCGAAACCTTAGTCGATAATTTTACAGTGCAAGCCAACGACACAGGCTTGAGGAAGCACAGTGCCGCCCAGACGGTTTACATCGAGCTTACAGCTGTTAATGATGAGTCTCCTGTCATTACCACCAACAGGGTCCTCAGGGTGAGTCTGTAGCTCTATATTTAAACTCCGCACACTTTTTTTTTTCTTCTGCCAATCGATCTGGCACCACTGTCAAAAGATTTTCATGGGGTCGTTTACTGTAGTTTCCATGCTTGGGTTGTGGAGCAGCAGGGAAGCATACTATGTTTGCTATCCAGGATCCCACTGGTCTGCCAGCACAGTGATGATAATGACATGCACAAAAAGGAGGCCAAATCTTGTTGGGAAGTAATAATTTTTTTTGTGATTATATAGGTAGAAGCTGTGGTACATTAAAATAGTTTATATAATATCAGTGTATTGGACAATACCTCTTCATGCTGTATGATAATCCAAATATAAATCCGTCAGATTTCATAGGTAGAGCTGGATGGGATACATCTCGAACAAGAAATGAGAGTATTTTATCTTTTATGACCAGCTTTCTCCCAGTTGCAACAAATTCCTTAGAGGTAATTCAAAATAGAGCCACCCCTGAAATTTCTAATATGAAATATTATATGAGAGCCAGTTAGGGGTTTCCCAACTCCTAAGAGTTAGGAAACTCTCACAAGGTTACAGTAGTCGATTTATTTTATTTCATAGTGATTGGGACGTGATTTTTATATGACAATTTAACACTAATAGATATTGTGTAAATGCTAATAAAGGTAATTTTTTAACATATCATGTTTACTTTGTGTGTTTGGTGAAAATCAAGCTTTTTAGACAGAAATAATATATCAGTGGCCACAAGGTGGCAGTCTGTCTCTGACATAAACTGCAACAGGAATATGTACCTTACATACATAATATATATCTACTTGATGCTGTTTATAGCTATTCACAATTGAGTCTCAGTTTTAGTTGAAAGGGCTTTGTCTTGTAATAAAAAAAAAAGAATGTAATTTGACAAACTTATGATATCCTCTTTATTTACTTCTGGTACAGATTGTGAAGATAAAGATAATTAAAACTGTCTCTCAACGACACATCAAAGCTGTAAAGGTTTGGCAGTTTAGACTTGCTCAATTTCAACAAAAATGAATCCAAAAGTCAAGTATAGTCACATCCTTTGTGCTTCTTATGATCTCCTCTGAAGATGTAGCCTGACGAACATCAAACATCCTGCTGTAATTAAGAAGCAATCTTGACCCCAGGAGACTTTTCACACAAACTGATCTCATGTGTCGTTTTTCTTTTCATCTTGTGAGTCATCCTGATGCTGTTTATCAGTCCTCCTGTGACTTCCTGCTAAAGGTGGGATTACCGGAGGTGTAGTTGCTCCCCTCCAGAGCAACACTCACTCATATGCGAGAAAAGCTTTCTCATGTGGGGGGCTGTTCTGCTGTAAGGCTGGAGTGACAAGTCTGGTAGTTGTACACGTCCTCACTGAAAAAGTCCCTCAAGCTGAGAATCTGCATATTAAACCAAGTTTAAGAACACTTTACTATTGGTAATATCTGACAGTTTGTATGTTTAGAATGCAGAGTACCCCAAAATATCAGCATAAAAAGTAAATATAGACTATGGAAATATCAGATTTATTTATTTTTATCAAATAAACGAACCAGCTGGTGAGCTTGGTGCTCACCAGATATTACTCTGAGGTAAAAAAGTTTAAAAGGCAAATATCAGAAAATAACTCCACTTATTTATCTGATACTGAGCCAAAATGCAACAGTTTAAGATGATCTGAAAAAGTGTTTAGCATTCAATGCCAAAAAAAAGAAACAAGACCGACACTGTGTCAATGCAACTGACCAGCTCTCTCCTCATGATTTCGGCCCAAAAAATGACTCCACCACCTCCTTGTTGACGTCACAGCTGTGTTGGGATGTGGTGGCCATCCACCACCAATCCACTACTGCGTCCATCTGGACCATTCAGGGTTGCACCGCAGTCATCAGTGAACCAATCTGTTTGAAAATTAATCTTCATGTACAGCTGGGCACACTGTGACCGTTTCTACTTGTGAGCTTTGGTTAAGGGTGGCCAAATAGTAGGTTTATGCACCGCCAGCCTCTGGAGGATCCGCCACCCTGAGGCACCAGCAACTTCAAATAACTGTTTACTTCTTTATAAGGGCATTTTAACAGCTGCTCCCTTAAGCCAATGAATTTGTCTAACAGAAACCGCAGCACTCTAGGTACATTTTTGATGAGGGAATAACATTATAACAAAATGTAAAAGTCATAAAAGTCAATTAAACATAAAATTGCCCCTTTAAAAGAAAAAATTACAAGAAAAATCAATCACAACCACTTGTTTTTGATACCTTCTGATTGTGTCTTCCTGTCTGCTGTATCAATTGTTGGGGGCATTTTGTATTTGTCACCAATCACACTTCAACTGTTGTAGAAGTTTCTCACTTTAACCACCTGTCAGAGATCAGGCGATGCCTTGTCACATCCACAAGCTTCCAGAAAACTTGCTGTTTGCTAGGTGTGAACAATGTGACAATTGACAGATCAGACTCTTAATATACTGTGTCACACATTGTGACTGGCAAAAGTATTGCACCCTGAACTTTCTCAAATTTTGCCATGCAAGAAATGGAAACTTCTATCATTGTGGCACTTGAGTAGGTTGAAAGTGTCTCCAGATGTGCTGCTTTTCTAAGACCAAGACGACAACGTTGTGTTTACTGCTGCAACCTGTACACTTACGTGCTTTAGATGAGAGAAATGAGCAAACAAGACGGAGAAACATTTTCTAGTTCCAATATATGGATGTTTCTCTGAATGTGGAACACACAAACAGATCCCTATGCTCCCTTTTTCACTTATTGCCTCCATTCACTGTGTCTGCAGCTAATTCTAAGTTGGTTATTTTTTACCTGGATGTATGCACCTGCTTGTCAGATTTAGTGGACAAGTGGCATGTTGGTCTGCAACATGCCACAGGAGCTCCTTTATTGACTAGCTTGCTAATGAAATGAGCTGCTACAGACAGTGTGGTTTTCTTTTTTTACTTTTTTCTTTCTTTTTTTTTTTTTGCTGTTTATAATTTTTTCCTGATTGCTTAAAATTGAAATTATGTTAACAGACTAATGAATAAATGAATTTGTTTTCATATTTTTCTTAATTACAGGATTCTGGCACCATTTTGGCAATTCTTACATATTTTAGCCAATGCACTTCCTTTGTTTCATAGTTTAAATGCAGCCTATTCCATTTTCCATTAATCATATAAGTTGAAACCGTGGCTCCTGTGAAAACGGCATATTAACTTAGTTACAAAAAATTTTCAGGCCTGCATGCTGTTTATATCACCCTGTTGCATTAATTAAGGAAATGACAACCTGTCAAAGCTCAGTCGCTCCTCTGGTTTGAGGTTCACAGGCTTCACTGTCAAGGACCTGCATGCTTCAGTAGTTTTGTGCTCTGTGTCAGTTACTTCCTCTGTTACTTTGTGGTAGCCCAAGGCTCTTTGGTGTGCATAGAAGCAGGAATTCACCTCAGTTTGTCAGCACTCTGAAGTGCTCTGAAAAGTGTTTACAGTCTGTACAGCTATTTTTATCATGGGGTGTCCTTGATTTTGGCAGCGCTCAAGTGTTTGTATCTTCTTTTTTTTTTTTTTTTTGCCTTAGGCCGGTGTTGCTCTGATATCTATATTGTCTATGTTAGAAATTATTTGTACAGTAATTAAACTGCAATACTTGCAAATGAATTCATGTCCTTTGAACCATTTCACATTTTAGCTTACCTTCACGCCAAATGTCAATGTACGTGTTGGGATTTTATACAACTGAACAACAGAAAGCAATGTCTAATGATGAACTAGAAGTAAAGGAATCTGGAGGAGATGCAGAGATTTACTTTATGAAAAAGTCATAAGAAGTAAGACATGGCTGGAAAAAGATAGATCCAATGAGGCACAGCAAACATGATCTTGTAAGATAAAACCAAATTTTGACTTTTTCTCCAAGATGTCAAATGCTCTGTGTGATCACACCATCCCCATGCGGAAAGCACTTTGAACTGCCTTGTTGCTGAAATACACATAAACTTGATTTGAAAGATAGCACTGGCAGCATTGTGCTGTGGGCTTTTTTTTTAGCGCGGAAAGAAAAGTAGGTCAGATGATAGGAAGATGGACGGAGTTAAACACAATATGACTTAAAGATGTGTGTTTATTGGCTCTCTTCATGAAAAAGCTATTTTTCAAGAAAAAATGGAAAATTATTTAAGTTTCACAATGACAAAAGCTTCAAGAGACCTGTCCAGATTGCTTCCAGCTGCAGTAATAGAAAAATGTTTTTCTGCAAAAATATTGACCAAAATAATCATTAGTAAAAGACTTTGAAAGCTTTTGATGATTTTCTCCCACTTAGAAATCTATAATTTTGTAATCTATCCAATAAGATTAGAGAGCTGAAAGGCAATGAATAGTTTTATGATGCAGTATAACTTGCAGGAATCACAAGTCTAAAGAAAGAAGGAAAAAACTCTTGGAATCCAAATTCACTTTGTAATTTAATGCCTTACAAAACAAAAACAACCAGGTAGTGTTTCTAAAATTAGTAGGGCTTACATTTCATCTTTACCATTTATTTATTGCAGAACTACATGAGACACAGTCTTTCTTTACCATAAATGAATTGACTTTGCATTTCCTATGAGCGACCTGTTCAGGATGAGCCAGTACTTTTTATTCGACTAGTGGAGAAAGGCACCAGCCATATCAAACCTACGAGATTATTTCTAGATGGATGGGTGGATTTCCAATTAGCTTGTTTTATTTCAGCTTTATCCCCTCTTAAGAGCCAAATATAGTTGTAAATAAAAGTAGCTAAAGCATATAGGGCATAACGAGTTGCATGAAATGAATCTGTCCAAGTGATATGGCACTTGTTGTTCATTATCTCTCTAGGTTTGGGTGTCGTCAATCACAGAAATCAGACCGGAGGATCTTAGAGCTGAGGATCTTGATACACCAGCAGATGAGCTACAATTCATGGTCACCCCACCCAGCAATGGACACCTGGCCCTTAAAAGCAACCCCATGAAGGCAGTGTTGAACTTCACTCAGGCCCATCTAGACCAGGGACAGCTGCTGTTTGTCCACAAAGGTAAAGCGATTTAATAGACAGAGAAGAACTTCCTTAATTTTGTTTTGCCTCCCATCTGCACAGTATTCCTCACTGTGAAGTTATTTATTCTGTTCCTTTTACTTCCACTAGAGGGTGCTCTTGGAAGGTCTGATTTGGTTTTCACTCATTTCATATCAGGGGCAGCTCATCTAAATTATCAGCAGTTTTTGTCATCGTGTTTATAGTGATTCCTGTTTTGATATAACTTCTTATGTTTTGCTTACTTGTAAACACAGAGAAGGTTGAAACCTTTGCTACACATCACACTAATTCAATAATGTTCCAAGGGTTTTGTTTGGCAATTTAAAAAAATATTTCTGTTTTTTCTTGATTGTTTCTGACTTTAATTAATGTTTTTACATCTTTTCTAGGAGCCATGTCTGGGGGCTTTAACTTCCAAGTCAATGACGGTGTGAATTTTACTCCCAGGCAGATCTTCAGCATCACCGCCAAAGCTTTAGTTGTGAATTTGGAGAAAAATCGCCCACTCAAGGTGTTTCCTGGTAAGCACAGCCCCTGACTATAGCAAAATCAGCAAATTGCCATTTCTGCTTCTCCTGCACAATGAGCTCACCGATAATAAAAAAAAAGTGTTTTCATAAAGTGAGTGAGCAGCTATCACATTGGCTACAATGATTTAAAGCATCATTAATTAACAAGGCTCTCATCATTAAAGCACTTAGTACTTAGATTAAAGAGGCAGGTGTTGCAAAATTAATCTTTATGGCATGACAGAAAAAACATTTTTTAGGCTTATGCAGTTATACAGATGGTATTTTTGTCAGCAGAAATATTATATTCTAAATTCAAAACTTATTTAATTTTGACTCAGTTCACTCCAATTATTTCCCAATTATAATACAATCAAATTAAGTTTATAATCCAAATTAATCAACAAGTTTAAAAGGTTTGCAGTGAGTTGACCTTCTGAACAAAGGAAGTTTGTTTGTTTAACTTTACAACAGTCCCTCATACTGAAAAATCATGTGGTGAGAGTAGAAAGGAATAATTTTCTCTCAATAGAAAGAAACCTCTAACCAGGCGCATTGTGAGTTGTATAATCAGATTCAGATTCACTTACATATTGTCCAAACTCAATAAAATGCGCACTCTGCCTCAGGAAAGGCAAAACAAATGATTTTCCTTTACAATTGAAACATATGTTGGTCTGACACTTCTGATCTCTCGTTAGCTTTTCTTTTAAACTCTAACGCTGTTGTGTGTTCAGCCTGCCTGCTGCTATGCTTTTCAGATTTCTTTTGGTTTAATAATTCAGCGCCTTTCCAAGAGCAGAGCCATTAAATCATTAAATGGGTGTAGTCTGTGTCTGCAAACGCTTTTCATAGTTTTCCATAGGTTTTCACTACTTCTCTTTGTGAATTAGGAAGAACTGATATTGTTGTGTGGGTGCAGCAAACACCCAGCTGGCACGCTGTACTGAGCCTCTCAGCCACAGGGTGAGTGGGTACTTAAAAAACTGTGCCACTGTCTGTTCTAGGCAGCCATGTTGGTGCTTTGTGCCAAGCAGGACAGACGGGGGAAACTAGGATGGCAGCTTTGGCTGACAATTAGGGGGATTTTTTTTAAGGAGAGAGTGGCGATGTGAAGCCCTTTCACACTGCGGTGGGAAAATGAATGTTTTTCCCCCTTTTCCTCACAAACATCCAGACTGTCTGGGGGATTTCAGTCAAACTTGAGAGAGAAAACACTGCTTTCTAATCAACTGCATGTGTCTTTTTAAATGAGTTCACTTAAAAGGTCATGCAAAAATTATGTTTAACAGGACTAAGATAAAAATTATGGCGTATAGTCAGGACAAGTAGGTTAACTAGCTCTAATATCCAGAATATACTGTACATGTTCATTATTATTAAGAGCATATACCACAAAATTATTTTCCTGTAGCGTGAATATAAAAGGGATTTTTATTTTAGGATGAAACCATTTCTCTCCCTCTTCCTCCAAGGTAGACATTTCCCTTGGGAGGTGAAAATGGTAGGAGCGCAACTTACAGGGATGAATTTCCTCTATATTTCCTCTGCCTTCCATTATTTATCAGCAGTCATTTTTCAAAGCCCTCAAAGTATTCTGAGTTGCCACAGGAATCTGCGCTGCAAAAAAACTAAATCTTACTAGATATTTTTGTCTAGGTTCTAGTCTAAATATCTTTGTACATTTGTCATAAGACAAAACTAACTTATAAGCAACCTATTCAGCAAGATATCAGAGCTAGCTGTACATCAATAATTCCTTAATATTAATCAAAATTAATATGTCTTTTAATTAACAAGTCATCTTTCTCTTGTTATACGTGAAATAATTACTAATGGACCAAGCACCTTTTCATTTAAAAAGTTGCTGATTGAAAACAATCTCCTATATCTTACTGAAAAGTTACTTGTAAGTTAGTTTTGTCTTATTTCAGGTGTATGGAGGCATTTACACCAGTAACCAAAATGCTTGGTAAGATTTTGTATTTTTGCAGTGTATACAATTTATTTTGGAGGAAAACTCCTTTTTTTATTATTCTCGGCTGTTTTTGTTGATGTCTTTATTTTATTTATTTTTTTCCCCAAGTGGCGTATTTGTGTCTGTGAGGAGCTTTTAATGTGTTTTTAGGAGTTTATGCAACACCCCACTCTTTCGTTGGACATGGTGTTGTAAAACGTCTCTGGTGTCTGCGCGGCAGCTTTAGTTCAACACATCAAAAGGCGATTGTCACTCTATCCCAGGCTTTGTTTTTAAGAGCTTAAAATGTTGTGCAGCTCAAAGGAAGGATAACACAAGATGTAACTGCCTTGAATGGTTCAACCCTACCTATTACAAATTCTCTCCAGGATCTTCCAGCCCGATCACCAGTGATGATTTACAGGCTGTGACCAATGACATTGGAAGCACCTCTAACCGCACCATTATGTTCAATGTGATTCGCCATCCTAAACTGGGACGCTTGGTGCAGAGGCAGCTTGATAACTCTACTGTAGAGATCTCAACTTTTACACAAGACATGGTAAGTGCACACAAGGTTACATAAAAACTGCGTCTTATTTTAAGACATGTGCGTCACTGAAATAGAAATCAAGGGTGTGTGAGAGAGATTTTTTATTAGCCTTCCTCCTTTTATGTGGAAGGCTACGCCAGATTTCCACTGTTCTGCATGAATAATGCAGGTCCTCCATCCATATTGAAGATAGTGACTCTCCTTTTTTTGCTGAATGGGCCATGGTAAAGCTTTATGCTTTGATTTATTGTGGATTTTGATCTGACATAATTAAAGTCAAGATAATTTAAGTTTTGAGAAAAAAAAAAATATATATATATATATAAAATATGTCATAATACTAATTTCACACATTACCACGAAAGGTCACGGCCAAAGAAGCCATTAATGTCCAAGCTTACAGAAAGTTAAGTGGAAGAAAACAGTGATATCATGATCGTTATTGACATGACTGAGAATTTTTCCACTTTGTGGAAAAGCTCTCATTTCTGTAGTAACTGAAATATTTCTGTATTCCAGGTGAACAGAAAGGAAGTCATCTACATTCAGACGCCCATTGAGTCGGTGGGCTGGGAAGCTATGGATTCAATAACTTTTTCTGTATCATCACCGCCTGTCTCTATTGATGGTCAGACTTTCAAAATAGACATCTCCTATGAAAATACAGGACCTGAACACAATACAGTACTCCTCAAAAACACAGGTATGAACTATATTTTCAGTTCATTAGCTGCTGTATTTGCTTGCACCTCATTAGGTCTGCATTGTGCTTTACATTTGCTCACATTAGCTCACTAGTTTCACATACTGAGCATTCACATTTCATTTGGACTCTATTTCCTTTTTTGAAAGTAATCTTCTGTCTCGTTCTCAACCAAGATAGCAGGGTTTGTAGTGCATGCCTAAAGCAGTGGAGGGTAAATACCCAAAACACTGTCTGTAGCAGATAAACATAAACACATCACTATTTGTGTTTTTTACATTTCTACACACTGGACCACAACAAAGTTGTGCACAATTATAAAATGGAAGGAGAAGGACACATAGTTTTCAAACTTCTTTATCATTAAAAATCTGAAAAAATATGTTGGGTATTTGTATTTAGCCTCAAGTCATTTTTTTTATTAAAAAAAGAAAACAATGTATCCCAGCTTAGTTTGCCAAGGTAGGGATGAAAAATGAAGCTACCTCCTTTCAGATGTAGGGAGTAGTCTGGCAGCAGCATTTTAATAAAGCTGTAAAACATTTATTGAAGTCAATGAAATAAAACAAAATATTTCTCTAAAAGCAGTCATGTACTGTACTTAAAGGAATGACAAAGCAGCATGTCATATGTGAAAGATCGCAAAAAAATGAAAATATTGCATCTAGATTTACTTTATGTTTATTTTGTGGTAGGTGCTGAGGTGGCAGAAGGGGAGAGTGTTGTCATAGATGAATTCAAGCTGGATGCCTCCAACCTGATGTCAAAACTGCCAACGCCACAGCGGAGCTCCTTTGAGGTCTGGTTTCAGGTGACGGATCTTCCCCAGCATGGCGTCATCGTGGTAGGCGAGAGAAATCTCACCAAAGAGAAACCAAACTTCTCCCAGTTCATCGTCACCAAATACGGCATCATGTACCGCCATGACAACTCTGAGACGACTCGTGACTCTTTTGTGTTCAGTGCTTGGCTGAATCCAAAAGGCAGGACTGCCCAGCGGCCTCAAGATGAGAAGGATGTAGTTATTGAGCGTTTTAACATCACAGTCAGGCCTGTGAACGATCAACCACCTGTGCTAAAAACTAAAACTCCAAGTCTAAAAGTGGTACAGGGAGAGAAGGTAGCGATCGGGCCTGAGGATCTCAGAGTCGAAGACTTGGATGATCCTCCAGAGGATATTACGTTCTCTGTTATTAGCAAACCAAGCAACGGTTACATAGCTCTGCAAGGAGGTCTGAATGAGTCAGTAGTTGCCTTCACTCAAGCTCAAATCAACAGCAGAAATGTGTATTTTATCCATGATGGAAGCTCTGCTTCAGGTGTGTTTTACTTCAGTGTTACAGACGGACATCACAAACCGGTATATAAACTTTTTAACATAGATGTGTCAGAGATTACCGTCACTCTACTCAATTACACTGGATTGTCTCTGCAACAAGGGAGGACTGTAGTACCTCTGACCCAGGACAACCTTGCAGCAGAGACAAATGGCAAAAGCGCCACCATTCACTACATGATTACAAAACCTCCCACCTTTGGGAAAATTCTGAAAGAAAACCAGGAAGTTACACATTTTACACAAGAGGATCTTCGGACTGGAAGCTTAGCCTATCACATGATCTCGCTGTCCTCTGCAGAAGACAGCTTTGAGTTTACTGTCTTCACTTCTGAGGCAAATCTTACTGGTCAAGTCCTTAATGTGACAGTCAGACCTCTGATCCATGTTGGCCAAGGAATGAAAATTCCCAATGGGATCACTGTAAGGCTCAACTCTAGCTTTTTTAATGCCTCTGAACTGGCTGCTGTAAGTGACAATGACCCTGTCTTTGACATTTTGTCCCATCCTAAGTACGGAAAGGTGCTTCAGAAAAGTTCTAAAAAGTCCAGGAAGTTCGTCCCAGCTGCATCCTTCACATTTCAGGAAGTGGTGCAGCAGAAAGTTGCATTGGAGCTGAATGCCAACATGACTGGAGTAGAGGAGCTGAATGATTCCCTTGTTTTTGTGCTGAAAGCCGATAAGGTCCAACCTGCTAAAGGGGAATTCCACTTTACAGTCGTCCCATACGACCCAGCGGTTTTTCCAACCACAAAAAGCCCAGTCCCAACCACGTCACCCATTCCTCAGACACCAATCAAGATTTCTAGGAATGGAACTGTCTCCCCAGTCCCGTCTACAGTTCTCCATTCCACCCACCAACCGAGCAAAAATCAGCAAAAATTCAGAGGCCGTAACCGCTGGGGGAACTCGAATGGAACTAGCTTTTTCAGCACAACACTTGGGAAGCCGCCTCGAACGGAGGAGTTTCCCTTTAGGAACACACCGGTCCGTGTGGAGTCCTACCCTCAGAAAACCTCCAACCCACTGCTCATCATCCTGCCACTTCTGGCCCTCCTGCTGCTCATAATCATCTTTGTAGTTGTGGTCGTCTATTTTCGACACCATAGACAAACGAAGCAGAGCACCTCTTCACCTCAGGAGAATCCACCCACTGTTTCACCCCACAGCGAGTCCCACAACGACCTAACCCAGAGGAGCACTGCAGTTCCCACTGTTACTGTCACTCCTTTAAGTCCCTCCTACCCTTCCAGCCCTGTGCTTAGCAGGTTTTTGCCACCGATCCAGGCTTCACCTTATGACACAGCTCACTCAAATGTACTCGTCAGTTCTTGGAGTAACGGTTCTCTCGAACCAACTTCCCAAATTATTCACTCCATCACCCCAACTTTACAGAAGAATCAGTACTGGGTATGAAGACAGTGACTGATACAAGATAATGTTGCTACATGTTTATGTAGTGAATGAATGGTACACTTAATTATTTACTGTTGCAGTTACTTGCTATAGATTTCTGGAGCTGTTTTGACCCATTGTGTGCTTTGTTCCATTAAATGGAGAACTGTATGTTACTATCTATTAGTTTAACTCTCATGAGCTCCCTTTCTGGAAGGCAGCAGCTGCTGAAAGAGGAAATAAACAGCTTTTATAAAGTGTTTCTTTTTTGTGGTTTAACAGGTCCTTTATATTTAGAAAGCTGCTTATGTTCATGTGAGAGAACATTTTCCCAAACTAATTAGTCACCAGCAATCTCTAGGCAAGACGTCAGTCTTGTCGACAAATCGGGTCGTGGTTATACACGATAGTGCCAAGTTTTTGGTGTGCAAACACTACTGAAGTGAGCAGCTGGCTTTAGAAGAAAATGAGATGTTCCCATTTTATTGGTGGATCCTAAATCATGACCTCAAAGATTACCCTGTGCCCAGGAATGCTTGTGCATGGATGTGGCAAATTTGGGGGAAATAATGATGTATGTGCAGCACGTTTGACACTTATTGGCACGTCAGTTTGAGAAGTGCATAAGTAGCATAATCTGATACTGTAACATTTAGACCAACACACCTTTTCATTAAAACACATTTTAAAAGTCAGGGGAAGGATCTTGCATCAGGAAAAGCTTATATGACAGCTTTTTTTAGATTTGTTCTTCTTTAAGTAAAAACTTCCTATTAATCTTGGTAAAAGAATGACATGACAGAGGTTTATCTAATTTCAAAACTGGCGATTAGGCATGTTAAGGAACCAAGTACGTCTTACCACCACAGACATTGAGGAAGTTAATGAGAGATCTCGAAAGCTCACTGAAAATGGTAACTTAGGAACGGTGTGCTCCGATCAAATAAGACTTAAAACTGACATTTCTTAGGATGCAGGATCACATGTGCAAAGCACCTCATCTCGATGAAGCATGGTGGAAAACCTGTGATGCTGTGGGCCTCTTTTTTTCCAAGTGGTCTAAAAATCAGCATTGCAACATGAACTGTTTAGTACATTTAAAAGAAGCAAAAAAAAAGGCAGTGCCCTCGAGAATAAAACTGAAAATAGATCATTTTTTGGGTGTTTAAACTGAAACCAGATTTTTCAAAACATGAACAAATCAACACAGGAAAAGTTCAAACTTAAAGAAAATCTGGGATGATTTGAAAATAATCCAGCTCCTTCTCAATATGCTCCAACCTTTATTAAGTTATTTTGTACATTTGAGAGACGGTTTGTGTAAAATAATACCACCAACATCACAGTTGATTTTGTAAAAAAATGTCAAAGTGAGACATTTTCACCCCTGTTAAATACATTAAATTAAAATTTTAACTTTTCTTACATTCACATTGTAGGATCAGGCTGTTGCAATTAAATAAAAGTTTATTTTACCCATTTTTACCAGAGGTGCCGATAAGTGAGGACAACGCTGTACATTGAATGAAGCAGATTTTAGTGTTTTTCTTTAGCCGCTCACTGAAAACCTACATGTATGTACCTTTTCTTTATGTCGGGAAGAAATTAGACGTTTATGGATTTAAATATTAAAGGGGACATTAGCATGATAACAACTTTATACTGTGAATTACTGAAGCTGGCATAAAATTTATGGTCAAAATATTTCAATCGATTGTTTAGATTTATATAATTTCCATATATACAAGTATATAAAAGTATAGTTTATTTTTGTTATCTCAGGAATTTTTTTACACAAAGTGTGCACTACATTTATCAAACGCAGCATGTGGTCAGTAATTGGCAGGACTTTGCAGGTTTTCAATAACTTAAGTAAAACCACCATTAATGTTGTTTTACACAGTTTTTACCTCTGTTTCTAAAGCATTTAGGCACTGACCATATCCTGCAGATTTAACCTCATAGCACTCTACTCTTTTATAAAAATAAATATCAAAGTATGGTCCAGAATTGGTAAATAATCTTTACATGTGGGGTTTTATATTTCTGTAATAGAAAAGGATGTTTTATTTAAATGAACAAAACTACTGAAATGTCTTGGCTAGAGAAAGCGGTAAGAAGCTTTTGATGACTGAAAGGAGCTCTTGTTTCATCTTATTTTATCAAAGTCGGGATAAATTCTGTCAAGTCATGAACGTTCTTTTCTGTGGATGAACTCTGATCATTCTGCTGTGATCTGCTCTAAAGTGAATTGTGGATTTTCGGGGAAAAGAAACCACTGCAAATATATCAGTCGTGAAATAATTTTGTACTGAAAAGAATCACTTGTGTCCCAGTCTAATCTAAGTGTTAAAATTTAATTTGTAACAGAAGTGTTGTATTTAATTATACTGTATTTTTCAATAAACCACTTTAGAAATCTTCTCAGTGTTGACTTTTTTTTTTTTTATCTCTTTCAATCATTTAATTTTTTTATTATTTATTTAGTATTTCCTCACTGAATCCTTTTTTCTTCCTCATAGAAATTTTGTAGCTCTCACTTTAATTGAAACTGTTGCTGCCACGGCAACAAAAAGCCCATCATGGTAATGGACCAATTTAAAAGAAAAGATTGTAATCATCAGTTCTTCTAGCTTCCTGCAATCAGCTCAGTTTTGGTTTTATCTTCTCCATGACGCCTTGGAACGTTTTACACAAAATCCTATATTTTATCCTTTAAATTATTTAAAAAATCTTTCTCTTTTATAACAGAAGGAAATATTTCAGAGCTATATGCTTTAATAGAACCTGGAACTCATAAAACCTCAAATTTAAATTTAATTAAACTGTTTTTTTATTTAGATTTGTGACATTTACAGGTTGTATGTGGTATAAACCAAGTACTGCAAATTAAACCCCAATCACCGGTAGATTTTTTAAATGTATAAAAACCTTTTTTTCTTGTACTCATGAATCATTTCTTAATTTTCTTTGTTTTAGTGAAGACACTTTATTATTTTTTTTGTTTTAATGATATGACACAGACTTGTTGAATTTTTCCAAATTAAACCTCAATCTCAAAACTGTCAAAGCAAAAATGCATTTCTTTTTATGAAATGCCTTCTTTCCAGGTTTCTTTCATTCCCACAAGAGTAGAGATGAAATAGAAAAACATTACTGGTGAGACCACTCAACATTATGGAACAATTTAGAGTGGCATTACGTGTTTAGAAATGCTGATTACCTAAAATAAAACTTATACACCAACAGATAAAACTCTGTTGATTGGAATAGTTTGAAGAAAATCTGTTGTGAATATTTTAAATATGTTTTTATAACAGTGATGTGTTTGGTGAACTACATTGCGGTGGCTGGTTGTCTGGGTCCTGCGCGGTGTATTGCAGCTGCACTGGTTTCCTATTCATGGCATGTGGCGTGCACGTACTAGCATAAACTTGACATCAGATCATTTTAAAAGTTACAAACCTCAAAATACCCGGACCAGGCTTCAGTACCTATGAGTAATTATCTTAACACTCTTGGGAGATGCTATGTCCCTGTGCTGCTCTGTGCACATCGGGTTTATGAAATAATTTCACAAAACTTAGGGCTTCAGAGACTGATTTAATCAATGTCAAAGCTCATAGCCCAGAGGCCTTTACTGTAACTTTTACAGCTGAGTTATAACACAAACTTTGAATGTCACGCTCAACTTTTGGCACTAAATGTCAACCTGGGGTTTGCAAATTTGATTTTTAGGATTTAGTGTTGCATTCATGCACCAACATTTCTCCTGATTCTATACAGAATTCAGAAGCTGTTATTTTGTAACATTGTCCTTTACACAACCAGAGAAGATGCCAGGATTAACTTTACATTCCTCAGTCTTGGTGTCAAGACTGAGGAGGTGAAGAAATAGGTAACTAATACCCTGCTGACAAGCATCACTGCAAAGCATGCAGGTAAATATCACAATAGATTAGAGCATGACTGGATCTGAGTAAACCCACAAGCTCCGACTTAACCATGATAACTTATCAAACATGTTTGATGGTATCTCAAGATGATCTATTCATCTTTAATCACACATTTCTATTACTAAATTAAAATTATTAAACTTATTTCATTACTCAATCCTGCAAATATCATGTTTTAAATACTCAAAAAAGCTTCAAAGCAATTTTTAAACCAGAGTTGAAGATCTGCCCAGTCTTTCAAGACATAAAAAACTGCTGACATCAAAAAGAACAAGGCATTGCCCTCTGTCGTATCATATTATTACTCTCATATGAGTGTCATGTCTAACTTTATAGCTGTTTTATTTTTCTTTTGAAGAGAACCAGTGCAGAGAAATTTCTGACATTGAGTTCTAAATAAATGCCTGAGCAGATGTAGACAAAGCTTCAATGATCTTTACGACAAATGTCTGGAGTGTTGTACTTTGGGTTTGTCAGTGGAACATTTGAATTACAACACCGAGATTAAAACAATAGCTGTAGCACAGCTATTGTACGAGTGAGAGTTAGATACATGTGATAGGTTCTTGGCGTCGATAGAAGATCTTACAATAATCTCTGTAATTTGGGGGCTGGAAATTGTGGGCCTCAGGTTAAAGAACAATGGCACCCTTCCCTTTAAGACCAGGCTGCCAGAGACAACGGCTTCTTGGTTCATGTGCTGTAATAGGGCTCCGTATAGATGATCCCAGATGGCTAATTAAATCACAAAGTGCATGTTTAAGTTGAAAAGAACTATTTTATCGTGCTACTGCAAGAGGAACAATGTCGACGCACCAAAAAAGGAACCAAGTGACATTTACTGTATTTGTTATCGCTAATCGGGGCTCGTAAAATTCAGTCTGGGTGTCAAAATTTGTCACAATGATGCTGACAAATTCTTTGTGCTTTTAAGAGGAAGCCTTGTCACACAAACATTATATAGCAATACACCTTATTGCCATCCTGCTGAATGAGATGAGCTTAGTGCTCATTGTCTGACATTAAATCAAACTAAACTTTTCCAAACTGACCTAAAACTGGGAACGTTTAATCTTGTTTTATGTAGCTGTGTTTTCTTCTCTAGGGTATATAAATATCTGGTTTCTATTGGTTAAGGTTTCCTGTTTTGTGAATGCTTTATATGATCTAAACGAACAGCAGAAGACAGTATTTTACTGTAAATTAGAGCAGTTTTCTTTTTTACAGTGTAGCTTAAGAACAATACAGTCAATGTTTTTGGTGGATGCCACTGACAGATGAAGCAAATATTGGACTGAGACTGAGGACTGGAGGATATCAGTCCTAAAACCATTTGTGGGTGGATCTGAAAAGGCAAACCTGACTCAGTTACACCAGTCCGGTCAGGAGGAATGGGCCAGAACTCCAGCAAACTATTGTGAGGAGTTTGTGGAAGGAAACCCAAAACGTTTGACCAAAGACAAACAGTTCAAAGGCAGTGCTACAAAATACTGAGGAAATATTTTTGGACATAGTATATGTCAACTGGCAACTCACATAAGAAAAGCACCTGATTCTGCAGGTATGAATCTTTTAAATATTGCATAAAGTAAGCCTGAACTTCAGCTTTTTCTTTGAGGAAACAAATGTTTTTAAATGATTGAAACGTGAAAAAAGTCAAGAGTTTAAAACCTGCTTGACAAACTTATAAAATCTTTATATATGTGGCCTCTTCCTCTTAAATGTCCTCTTGTTTATTGTAATCAGAGCTGTAAATGAATCTCTGTGATGCTGGGGGAGGGGAGAATGTGCAGACACACACAAACCAACAAAAATGCATGTTGTGTGAGTGTGTTTGTTGCAGGGCAGCTAGAGAGCCGAGGGGTGGGAGGGCAGTCAGCGTTTTTCAGACAACATGAATGAGGCCCCGCCAGAGCGAGCTTCCTGTGTGAGGGCTATAAAAACAAAACCAGGGTAAAGACTCTCACATTCCTGAACACTCTGCCAGGTACAAGATACATGACATGTCCTCGCCAAGGTTTTGTTTTACTCCAAGAAGAAGAAAAGAAAAATGGGTGAAAATGCAACACTTCCCATATCGCCTTGTCATGAATTGGAAAACACTTGAATGTCCATATATGTAGGTCAAAGCTGTAGCAGTGTTTGTTTTGATGTTCTTCAGAGGCTCATTAGATCTCAAAAACACCAGAAAGTTTCACAGGACAGAAATCTGGATCAGATCTCTGAGCATTTGTGGGTCAAATAATGAACCCACAAAGAAGTCAACATCATGTATGTGTGCAGTCTACAACCATATACAGTGATTCAAAATGTCTATTATAATAAGCTGTGGGAAAAGTTTCCTTTGAGTGATGAAGATTTTAATGTTGCATGACTTAAGTGGAAATCGAGCTTCTTATGTGTGATAAATATTGTGTGAGAAAATGTTTAAAGCCTCATCAGGATACTTTTATAACTAGGTAATATTTTATCTGGAGCATCCAAATGTTGCAGAACAGTGGCATTTAAGGACTGGAGCTGCTGACTCCTGATAAGTCTTAAATAGATGGACTCATGAAATAAGGTTCATTTAATATTTCAGGTAGAAAACTTTTGATGTCTTTAGAAACAAAACTCTTCATTAGTTGGTCCAAGAGGCTGAAGCTATCACGAAGTTCAAGACGGACTAACACCACAGCAGATTTCCTCGACATAGGCTAGTCTTAAAATATTCAAATCATTTTTGTACAAACTCTTGTGAGTTTTTTAATGATGCTCAACTTTGCGATTGATGGTTATTAGAAGAATTCAGGTAAGAGGCGGTGCGCCACAATAACCTTCCTGTGTGAAACATATAAAGCATTTTAGATCAGAGTGATCATCTGAGCTGCCCCCATCCTGGATTTTGTTCTTTCCGACTTTGCAGAATTAATACCTCAATCCAATTGTTCACATTTTCTAGATTTAAGAGACAGATGACAGTGAAAAAGGTTCTAGACATCAAAATGCACAGAATTTCAGAAACACAATGCATGGGAAGAAACTGATGCAACATGGTGGTGAATTTCTTTAAATAGATGGTTTTTCTTTAGAAAAGCAGAGGTCAGCAAAAGCAGGTTTCTTTCCCAAGAGCTTCTGGAAACGTCACTGGAAGAAAAACACAAGTTGCTACTTGAAGAGACAAAAACAACTCAGATAACAGCTGAGTTCAGACAGTGTGGCTCTGAATCCTTTAAACAAGCAGAGATCAGTATTAGGGTTCAGTAATAATAACGACTGGTGTGGCAGGATGCTGATTTCTCCACACAAACCTAAAGGGGGCACCTTGTGTTTGTGTTTGTCCTAATTCAAACCGCAGCCGCCCACAGAAACTGTCATAACAAAGTGGTCTGAACCCTGTGAAATAGTGTCTTTGCTGGATAAAATTGTGCTTTCAGCCCACAATACTCATTTCTAACACAGGATGTAGTGTATATTTTCCGGTATTA